ACTTGGATAGGACCTTGTCCTGGTGAGGGTTGCACCCCAGGTCCTAGATCCCAGAGTGACATCAAAGACCATCTGAGACTCCTTCTCATACCAAGAACACGCATGGGTCAGGAGCCAGGGCCAGGGCTGGAATACAGGGACCTGGAAAGCTGAGGTCTGGCCCTGGCCTACCTGTGTCCTGTGCAGAGTCCTCCAGGGTCCCTCTGAGCCCCTTCCTGTTTCTCCATGGTAGCAGGAGAGGTGTCTGCTCTTTGGAGAATAGAATCTTCATCCAAGCTCATACCCCAGTTGTGGCCACTGCTGCTGCTCAGTGTGAGAGATTCTCAGCAATTGGGCAGTACCTCAGTGTCCCCCTCTGTGTCTGGTTCTTGAATTTACTTACACAAACAGGGTCAAAATAGTAATTGGCTAATTTGTATACTCCTTAGCCTGGTGACTGAAGGGCCACATCCCCCAAATTCCCTATGGAAAAATAGGGAGACCACATATTTCTGAGGGGCTTTCCTATTTCATTGATACTGTTCCTTTATTCACAAGGCTGCTATCAGTTATAAAGCATTGAGGAACTTTGAGATTGTTCAGTGATGGATGCTGAATGAAACTCCCAGTTTGGGAGCACCTGGCCCTGGCTGCTTGAACCTCCCTGAGCACGCAGGAACTCGGCTGAGCAATGCAAGGTTGGAAAGAACAGTGTTGCTCTTTCACTGTCTGGCCTGTCTTCAAGAGCACTGCCAGCTGCCTGTGGACTCAGCAAGTGAGTCGGGTGGGGAGAGGGGAACAGGGAGCTTCTGGCCGGACTAAGGAGAAGGCTAGCAGAGCCTGGCTTTTGGCTTCTGGGCACCCAGCCCAGGTTCTGGGACCATCCCTGCACTGGATCTTACTCCTCCCTCCCCTGGGCTCTGGCTGGCACTCAGGACTCCGGGTTGGTGGGAATGGGGGGCGGGGTGGGGAGGGCCTAAAACCAGACCAGAACTAGGCTCCACCTTCTGCACCCCAGGCTCTCTCAGAAGTTGAAAGCCAACCTAGCAGACAGGCCTGTGCACAGCACCATGCCTATGACACTGGGATACTGGGACATCCGCGGGGTGAGCTAAGGGTCTGTCTAGCCAGTGAGAGGGGGACGGGGCAGGCACTTTGCTGAGCAGTAGGGAGTCTCCTTCTAGGAGACAGATCCCTGTCAGCACCTGCTGGAGCTCTCTGCCTGTCCGTGTCTGAAGGCCTTTGCCACCCTTTATGTGTGTGTGTGTGTGTGTGTGTGTATGTGTGTGTGTAGTGGGTAAAGGTGGGTGGGGTTTGTTTGGAAGAGAGGAAATCATACAGGCAGGGTCCCTCCATCTTTGACCTCTGCCATGGCCATCTCTCCCAGCTGGCTCACCCCATCCGCCTGCTCCTGGAATACACAGACTCAAGCTATGAGGAGAAGAGATACACCATGGGGGACGGTAATGGCACCCTCCTCTTCAGACCCCACCCGGCTTCTGCTGATTGGTGCCTAGCAATCTATGCCAGGCCACTGTTTTTCACCTTAACAGCCTTCCCTTCTCTGGATGCAGGGGCTGCCCATTCTTCAAACTTCTGTGAGGGTGCATTTTGGTCTTCCAAGACAAGACTCTGGGAGTGGAGTGCTGGCTCCTCTTTTCTTTGTGATTTCGGTGGGTTCCCCTTAGCCCTTGCCTGAACATTTTGTAAACCTCAGTCATGTTGGGTTCACGGCCCTTAGAAACTTTTTTTTACCTTTTAACCTTGGAAGGTGAGGCTGAGTGACTTAGATTCCAGATCCACTTCTTAGGGGTCTTGCCCCTGCCTCCTTGTGAGGGTCCTGGGAAGGAGGGTTGGACTCAGTGGGGTTTGTTTCACATCATCTTCTCCACAGCTCCGGACTATGACAGAAGCCAGTGGCTGAGTGAGAAATTCAAGCTGAGCCTGGACTTTCCCAATGTAGGTGTGGAGGATGGGGTGGTTGGGGAAGTGATTGAATCCCTACCTCATCTCATTGCCCTGCTTAGTTGTGAGGATCAGTGCTTCTGCTCAGCTACCCTCAATTCTGGGTATCTATACTTTCTATGGCATCTGTGTCTCAGCTCATTCGTTCATTCTATGGTATGCTGACATAGTGATTACCATGGGCCAGACACAACAAGTGCTAGATCTCACAGGATCTAACTCAGGGAAAAGAGACTGTGGGACCAGGTGTTCCACCTGACCTTCCCTGGTTGTCCATCCAGCTGCCCTACTTAATCGATGGAGTTCACAAGATCACCCAAAGCAATGCCATCCTGCGCTACATTGCCCGCAAGCATAACCTGTGTGAGTGGGGCTGGCTACAGGGTGTGGGGGATGGTGGCCATGTCCCTGGCATGGCTAGGGTGGGAGGCTGAGGGTGCACCTCTGTTGCATGGACTACAGGTGGGGAGACAGGAGAGGAGAAGACTCGTGTGGACATTTTGGAGAACCAGGCTATGGACACTCGCATGCAGCTTGCCATGGTCTGCTACAGCCCTGACTTTGTGAGTCACCCATTGCATGGATCATTGCATTGGAATAGGAGTTAATCTCTTTGGTTCACATCTACACTGGTCCACAAGACTGATTCTCTAAGGAATTATTTGTCTTAACAAATTGACCCCCAGAATTCCCAAATATAATCAAATAAACACTGTGAGTCAATTGCCACCAAACTTAGGGTATTATAGATTGGAAATTCAGTTCCTCAACATAGAGTTGGTATTTAGGATCCTTTTAATCTCTGACCTTTAATCCCTGCTATAGGTTTTCTCTCCTAGCTGTTCATACTATCTGCCTGCTACTAGAACACTATGAAAACCATGAGAAAAAAAATCACAAGGTGGGGGATTGTAATGCATCCTTGTCTTTGGGCATCTGCCATATGTTTCCCCCATGCTGTGTCCTCTAGACCAGCATGAATCAGGACCTTGTCTTAATACACAGCTCAGGGTCAGCCAGGGCTGACCCTTTTCCTTCCTTCTGTCCCTTTTCCTCCTTCAAATACTTCCCAACCTTATGCCCTACTCAAATATTCATTTTATACCTTTTTACCCCACTAGGTAGAACTTTGTTTTTTTCTTCTGAGATCTTTTAGTACTTTGCTTCTTTGAATCTATTCAACATCTGACTCCAGAGCCTGCCAGGTACTCCCATTCTCCTGGGTCTGATGCATGGGAAGTGGTGTGAAGATGAGTGGTGCAGTTTCAGGGCCTGCAAGTTCCTGTCTGACTTGTATCACTCTGAGAGATGGGGATGCTACCAAGTAGGAGTCTAAGAAATAGTGATGCAGGGAATGGGTGTTGGCTCAGGCCCAGGCTGTGGGAAGTTGCCGCTCAGCCTTGGCAACTGGGGCCATGGACACCACTGGCAAAACTAGCCTCTCTGTCAGGGAGCCCTTTTCTGAGGGTGGTGACAGCTGATTTCTGTTTCAGGAGAAAAAGAAGCCTGAGTACTTGGAGACCCTGCCTGAGAAGATGAAGCTCTACTCACAGTTCCTGGGGAAGCACCCATGGTTTGCAGGGGACAAGGTAAAAGAAAGAAATCTTTAGGTATCACTCTTTCCAGGATACAGAATTTTGTGTCCATTCATTCTTGTCTTTCTGCAGATCACCTTTGTGGATTTCATCGCTTATGATGTCCTTGACCAACACCGTCTGTTTGAACCCAAGTGCCTTGATGCATTCCCAAACCTGAAGGACTTCATGTCCCGCTTTGAGGTGATGCCCCTGCTCCTCCTCATTCTTGAATGTCCTTTTTCCTTCTCCCTTTCTGATGCTTTCCTAGTCCTGAAGGTGAAGGAAGAGTAACCAGCATTTATTGAGCACTGTCTTTATATGCCAGGACCTGCACTCACATCTTCTATTTATGGCGTCAAAGTTATCTTTACAATATTCCTACAAGGCTGATGGAATTATGAGTCCCACTAGGTAGACATGGAAACTGAGACTGTAGAGGATAAGTCATTTGCTCAGGGTCACAGTGCCACTGAAGGCCCTGGTGGGTGGCTGTTCCTGCCTTCTGTCAGAAGGAGCAGCCTGGTTTTCAGAGCCCAGGATGCTGTGCAGGAGGAGAGTGAGGCAGGGTGTGTGCAGCTGGAGGTGGGAGGCTGAGGTGAGGCTGGGGGACTGGCAGAGCAAGGCGCAGACAGTGTTGAGAGCTGCTCTGCAATAGGCTTGGCTCCATCAGGGTACCACCTGGGTAAGCACTGGGACCCCAGGGTGGTGGCTGGTGCTTATGAGTACACATGTGGGGACCCTTAGGGGATTTTTGTCTGCATTGTTCTATGGTGGAAGATGTTCTTTCCCTTCCTCTCTCCCTACCTGTTATTTTCTAATACCCCAGCTTTTCATCAGGGTAGTGGAGTCTTATACTTATTCATTTGGTTTCACGGATGGTCTCCTCCATATGAGGTTTGCTCTCAGCACAGTGGTGTATGTAGAGATGTCCACATCCTGGAACTGAGTGTAGCAGGGAACAGCAGGCACCAGACTAGGGTACCCATGGTGCCATCTGGCTGCTGAGGAGCACAGCTTGCACTTCATCTTACAGTCAGTTATAGGTCACCCAGGTCCACTTGTCACCAACAAAACTACTTTAGTAGAGCTTTGGGAGTTTGAGATGTTAGTACAAGAGGTTTTTCAACCTGAGATCTGTGTTCTCTTCCCACTTCCAGTGAGCTCAGAAAGTGATCTGCTTCTCAGCTTGTTTTTATCAGTGCTGGTTCTGGTCCCAGGCTAAGTGGCCTTGAGGATTGTGCAAGAGCTGGCAGGACCATGGGGTGAGGGAGGGAGTGTTGCAGCCAGAGGCCAGAATGGCCTGGATTGTTGGGAACAGGCAGCCTGCTCTTTGAGTCCTTTAGGAATTATCTAGGAACTCAACTCTTGGTAAGAAGGCACACAATACATCTGAAATGTCATTTCTTATGGTTCCCTATATCAGGGCTGCAGGTGAGGTTGGTTGGTGCACAGGGAGATTGAACTTCAGTACCACAGGGAGAAATTTGGACTTTTTGATGACCAAGTTTTAATTAGATCCCTGCCCAGCCTTTTCTTGTGGGCCTCCCTCTGTTTTTATACTGGCATCCGGGATTTGCTGAGTCACTGCATGATATCTCTTTGATCTCTGCAGAGCTGCTCTGGTATGTTCTCCTCACCTTTGTGTTGCTAGATCCTTCCGGTGTGCAAACTCAGGCAACAAGGAGTGGAAGAAAAAGGAGACTATTTCTGCAGATAGAGTGATGGGGCCTCTGTGGGTAGGGGAGGAGGGGATGCAACAAACAGAATACAAGATTAGAGATATGGAGCCAGGCCTTATCCAGCTTGTCCCACTTACTAGCTGTGTAAGCATGAGGAAGTCGCCTAATCATTCTGCACCTCAGGTACCCTCCTAATAGACAGTGATGGTAGGACCAACCTTTCAGGGCTGTTGTGTGTATTTTTTGAACCTACATTGTACTCTAAAGGTTCATCTACCCCAAATGGTAGTCCTTATTAAAGTAGTACACTTGTTAAAGGAAATCAATGAGTGACTTTAGCTGAGCTGTGGACCTAAACTGACTGCTGTCTGTGCTCAGCATGTAAGCCCACTTAAAAGGCTGCTCCTGGAGTGGGCTGCTCTAACTCCAGATGGGCAGCAGCCCTGAGCTCCTGCCTCTCTCCCATTCACAGGGCCTGAAGAAGATCTCTGCCTACATGAAGTCCAGCCGCTTCCTCCCAAAACCTATGTATTCCAAGATGGCTGCATGGGGCAACAAGTAGGACTCTGCCTGCCAGGACCAGGGGAGGGGATCCATCCTGGACCTGGAGCACAGCTAGGGCACTGCCTCAAGGCACCAGTTGTCTCCTTCTTTTCACTCCCTTCTCCTCTGCAAGACCTCATTGGCTCCCTTTCTTCTACCCAAGCCCTTCTCCAATCAGACCTCTGCAAGCTTTAGTTCTCTATCCTTTTTCAGCAAAGTCCCCTCCTCCTCTTTCACCTCTCTTCCCTGAATCCAGATAGTCCTCTCACTGTCACAGGAAAGCAGGGAGCTGAAACTCTAAACCCCAGTTCTTGTATTTGGACAAAAGAAAATTTAAAGTCAGACACCAAAAGCCATGCAAGAGAACTGTATTATAAGTGACAATAGAGTGGAAAAGAGATGAAAATGAAGTAAAAGCAAAGTAAGGCACCAGCTGAGAACCCGAAGGGGGTGGCATCTCTGAGCACAGGATGACCAAGGACACAATGTCGTCTCCAAATTTATTACTATTTGCTATTTACCAAGAGAAATGGGGACCAACTTCTACACTCTTTGCCAATCAGGTGTTCAATTCCTTCACGATGAGTGGTAGAGTTTTTGAACTGTCATGGTAGTCATCCTATTTAGGGGGTCTTCATCTGCAAGTCATCTACAAGTTCCATGTTAATGTGGGCATTAGAGTCAGTAGCTGGTCAGAAGTTACCTCAGTGCACCTGCACTACTAAAGCAATCTTCCTTCCCAGACAAATAGAGACACCTTTAGCCATACTTCCCAGCTTCCCACCAACCTCATTGGAGTTAGTCCCATTGATTCTATTTTTTTAAACATATTTTCCCATTAGTTCCTTTGCTTCTGTTTATTTTCTACAAATGAACTACCACCCTTTCCTTTCTCAGCCACTTTGAAGGTAGTTCAAAAAGAACCTAAAATAACTTAATACTTTTGACCTTACTATTCATTTCATTGCTCATTACTGTCTACTACCTAACTCTCAGCTCCGCTTGGAGAAGCATAACTGAGTCCATGCTCCCCTGCACTGCCCCAAACTCCAGTACTACCTGGTGAGCTGGCTCTGGTCCCCAGCATGGCAGCTGCCCAGCCCTGTCTGACCCCAATAAAGCCTGGACCACACTTGCTCTGTGTCTGTGTCATTGCCTCTAACTCTTGGGGCTCACTGTGTAGCTGTGGTCAGAGCCTCTTTGTTCTGTTGTCCACAGCAGGAACTGGATTCATGGGGGGTGTTGGGGATGGGTGCTCTGTGTGGTCAGACAGGGTATGAGGTCATTTAAGGTTGTTGCTGTCCCCTTTCCATGTCCCTATGGTCCTCACCATGGGATTCCTATAGAAGGGTGCTCCTTCCATGCCAGGGTTCCTCATCCATGTGGCAGGGAGTAAGGCTCCATAGGCCATGTACAGCTGGGTGTCATGGTTCAGAGAGGTGCTGGGCTAATGGGAAGGGGCTAAGGAGCCCTCAGGTGACCATCTTCTGACCCTTCTCCTGGAAGTGTTCCTGGTCTGGACAGCCCTCCTCTGTGTTCCCAGGACGTTCTCCATGAACACACTCCACTGTGTTGTAGTGGGTGTTGTGGCTGTTGTCACCCCACTCAGTCACAAGCTCATTGAGGAGAGGGCGCAGGGGCTTGTTGGACTTTTTAATCTCTGATATGTCTGGCAGTGTCTGGTAGATGGTCAATGGTCAGGAAATTTGGAAATTGGAAAGGATTATCTCTGAGGAAGCCTTGGCCTGCCTGCGTAGCCAGTACTGGGATTTACAGCTCTGGGAACAGCTATTTTAGCCCATGAAGGTGTAGAATAAGATGCAGAAGAGTTTATATATGCAGGTACTGGAGTTTGAGCCAGTAGCTCTCTTTTACCTCAGCACTGAAGAGGCTCTAGCTGTCCTTGGAACAATGTAACCTGAGATATAAAGGCCTAGGTCCCCAGACCAACTGAAGCAATGTATGTAGTCAGAATTATTGTATTTTATATCAGGTCACTCTCAAAGAAGCAGGACTCACTGGAGAAGCACTTGATAAGCAGGTTCCCAAAATAGAAGCTAGAGAGAAGGAGTTGGGCCTTGGTAAGAAAGAACCAAGAATTACCTCATAATAGGGAGCAGATCTAAGAAGAGAGTCCTGTTGACGTTGGTTCAGATGGTCGCTGTCTGCAGTTGCCTCTTGCATAAGAAACAAGGGAGCAATGGGCAAAATGTCAATAGTCACTGTGAATCAAATGATCAGTTGAAAAGTTAAAACTGATAAGATGAAAGGGAAGCTAAAAGTTTGTGAAACTGGTAAGATAAAAATTAGTTAAGGGCTGGGGATGTGGCTCAAGCGGTAGTGTGCTCGCCTGGAATGCGCAGGGCGCTGGGTTCGATCCTCAGCACCACATTAAAAAAAAATATTGTGTCCACTGAAAACTAAAATAAAAAATAAAAATATTAAAAAATTCTCTCTAAAAAAATTAGTCAAGCCAAAAGTTTATTGAATTTTGAAGATGGATCAGATGAAAATAAAAAGGGAACCAGGGCATGTAATCCCAATGACTCAGGAGGCTGAGGCAGGAGGACCACAAGCTCAAGGCCAGCCGCAGCAACTTGATGAATCCCTGTCTCTAAATAAAAAATAAAAAGGGGGCTGGGGATATGGCTTAAGCCGTAACGTGCTCGCCTGGCATGCACGGGGTGCTGCATTCGATCCTCAGCACCACATAAAAATAAAATAAAATGTTGTGTTCACCGAAAACTAAAAAGTAAATATTAAAAAATTCTCTCTCTCTCAAAAAAAAAATAAAATAAAAAATAAAAAGGGCTGGGGATGTAACTCAGTGGTAGAGCACCCATGGATTTAATCCTCAGTACTGCAAAAAAGATAAATAACAAACAAACAAATAAATAAAATACAGTATTGGAAGAATAACACTATGATAAAAGTTGAGAAATTAAAATAGAAAAAAAGATATAAATTTAAATCAGAGGCCATAACTGGTTAATATTTTGACTTAAAGACAATAGATATCTGTCATATTTCCTTAGCTCTGTCATGGTTGTGTAGAAGCAGACATATACCATAAACATAATGAATTAGTGGAGCTGTGTTCAACAGAACTTTACTTATACACACAGGTAACTGCAACCACTGTTTAAAAGGCAGAACCAATACTGGCCCAGGCAAAGAGACTTCACCAAATGGCTCACTACTCCCGAAATATTCAGAGTCAAATTAGTGGGAAAATATGTTTTATTCACAGCCAGATTTGAAGGAAAATGGAAGAAACTTACAATTTTAAAAGTTTTATCTTCAAAATCCCTGAAGACAAGGAAAGCTTTAAAAGAGTCTGCAAAGAGAGAGAAGTCAGGAAATATATATAGGTAGATTTAGTTAGCTTGTGCTAACTTGTGAGGGGGCAGTTTCCCTTCTCAGCTTCCTTGGTATCTGTCAGGCCATGGGGGACAGGGACACACAGCCACTCAGCTTCTCTTCTTAGCATGAGGAAGCTGCTCTCCAAATCATAAGTGGGGGCAGATTCAGTATTTCATCATCATAGAAATCAAACAACCTCTTTCAAAAATGGGCAAAGGACCTGAATAGACATTTTCCAAAAAGTATATTCAAATGCCAGTAAACATCTAAAAAAATGTTCAATATCACTAATCGTTAGAGAAAGGTACATCAGAACTACCATGAGGTTTTACCTCACACACATTAGGATGACTACTATGAAAATGCAGAAAATAGTAAGTTGTGTGAAGCTGTGGAGAAATTGGAACTTTTATTCCCAGTTGGTGGGAATGTATGATAGTACAGCCACTGTGGAAATCAGTTTGGCAGTTACTCAAAAAATTAAAAATAGAGAAAGATGGAGCAAATTGGTAGATTGACAGATCCTCTATCAATTGTCTCCTCACAGACACACCAATTTAGACAGCTGCTCACACACTAAACTGTTCACAAGAGTCAAGGAATCTAGGGGAAAGACCATAGAGGTTTTAATATTATAATAAGAAAAGGTGTATTAAAGAAAGCAAGAAGGAAAGGGTTGTCCATGTCACTCCTTCCCCAACTCCAGCAGCATGGAGAAAGATGCCTCTGACTTAGAAGAGAGAGAAGGAATTAAGTCCAGGCCTCACACCTGAAATCCAATGCCAGGTCTGCCATTGTGAAACCTTGGATCTGCAGAGCCCTAATAGCAGTATCTGCAGACTGATCTGCTAGAACTGTGTTCACCAGGGGGCCAAGGGGCTGCCTCCTTCAACCCTCCTCCAACTGTGGGCAGCAGAAGGTGAGCAAGATTCCACTCACTGGGGAGTAGGGTAGAAAAGCTGCAAAGGGCTTTGCCTGTGCAATCCTGTTGTGATGAGACCTAGCAGCAGACTGTCGAGAGCCGCCATGAAAAGGAGCTGAGCATGACCCTTAGCCTTGAGCAATGGATGTGTGGAGAAGGCTTTCCTGTTCCAGAAGCAGATGGATCCCCACCTCCGCTCTGCAGGGGAATAAGACCAATGGGACTGGGCTACACCCCCGAAACCCAATCCCTTGCCTCATTAGGGTGGAACTTTCTCAAGTGCCTTCCACTCAATAATTAGGGCTTCTGGTGTTCTCTCTCTCCCCGTCCCCCCACCTTGCTTCCCTTGTGGGAGCTGAGGATAAGGAGCCATTGCTGAACCCCAAGAAAAAGATATTTTCTCTGTCTCTGTGTGATTATTATGTGCCACCCCAATTCATCTGGAGTGACCCTGTCTGATTTCATCACGGGTTGTGATGGCAGACAAAACCCAAAGGTCCCTATACTCAGGACAGAGACCACAGATAAAGCCTCTGATCTTTCCCAGTAGGTAGAGATCTATGGTTGGTGGGACAGACTCTTGTTTTGGCCTTGATCACTGACAGTCTTGGAATGGGCCTGGAGAAATTCTTCCTTGAGACTAGTAACTCTCTGATGCTGTGAGATTCTGGTGTGACCCAGCTTAGTGTCAACTTCAGAGGCCAAGGGACTACCTTCATCAACACTATCTCAGTCTCAGGCCACAGTATGAAATAAGACTCCAGTTGCTGGAATAAGATAAATGGTAAGCACAGGACTTTGCCTGGAACCCAGTGCTGGTGAAATCTAACACTGGGCAAATCCTAAAAGCCACCACCCACAGGCAAGTGCCCGTGGATGGGCCTCTGAACCAGCCTGTGTCAGGCAGAGTTGGACTTCTATCCTGATCAGCATCGCAGGTGGCTGGCTGTGGTGATCCTGAGCCATGAGTCCACCGCAGCATAGGCAGCCCATGGTATTGTAGGCCTTGGTCCTTCCCCTGTGTTGAGCAGTGGGCTTAGGTTGTGACATAGCATTCTGTCATTGGTGGCCACAGGTGTTACATACAAGCATAAGGCTAGGCCCTCCATGATGATTCTGCCAGAACTAGGCAGAATTTTGTAGTGCTGGACCACAGGCCAGAAGTTGAGAATGAGTCATGTTGGCAGAGCCTGACCCAGGGAAGGGCTGAGGGGATGAATTACCCTTTGTTAGATACTCCCCTGCTTCATGCTGAATACACCACCTGTGTATTTGGGACAAATCTGAGCTCCAAACACCCTCTAGTGGTAAACAGCAACAAAACTCCAGCCGTAGACTCAGCAAACTTAGACTCAGGCCACCATCCAGTGCTGAAATAGTGGAAGTGACTATGGGCGCAGAGAAAATAAGCAGTCTGCTTAGGGTTTCTGGAAAGACAGGCTCAAAGCCAGATTACAAAAGACTAAAATAAATACCTAAGCCTTTAATGTCCAGATGATGCCACACACCAAGATGTATCAAAAACTTTCAGGGAAACATGACCTTACCTAACAGTTAAAGTAAGACACTAGAAACCAACTGTATTAGTAATCAGAATAGGTGAACTAGCTGGGCATGGTGGCACACGCCTGTAATCCCAACAACTCTGGAGGTTGTGGCAGGAGGATCATGAGTTCAAAATCAGCCTCAGCAAAAGTGAGGCACTATGCAACTCAGTGAGACCCTGTCTCTAAATAAAATACAAAACAGGGCTGGGGTCATAGCTCAGCATATGGTTTCCATTTTTTATGTCACCACGTAGTCCCAAATAGCTGCTATACTTCCATCCATTATATCTGCATTACAAACAGCAGGAAGGAGAAAGAAGATTGGGGATTGTTCCCTCTCTTTTAAGGGAATTTCCTGGAAATGACATATGACACTTCTGCTATCATTGTAGAACTTAATCATATCAGAAATGACATCTTTTGCCTGGGAAGATGGAGATTCTTTGACAAAAGAAAATGGGGAGAATGGATATTGAGAGTCAACTAGCAGTGTCCTACCTTGGGGCAGGGGCCTTCTAATATGAGAATTTTTAATTAAGAAGGATGCATAAAAGTTGTATAAAAGTTTGAATAATTGTAAACAAACAGAAATAATCCCAAATGTTGATATTTTGAAAATGACAGACCAAAGCATAATGTTGATGACTTGTAATACACCCTTTATAAAATAGTAAGGGAATAGGAAGTGGAAGCACTAAATAGAAAAATTTAGTCCCTGCCCTCTGGTGATTTACAGTTTAGTGGCAGAAACAGAAAAGTCAGCGAGCCATCCAATGCAGCAGACAAATTGTGCTCATATTTGCAAATGAGCTGTTTTGCATTTCTTTACAATGCTTGCAGAATGGCCTTCTTTGATTAGAAGATTCCAAAGAGATGTTGCTTATAAACCTTTTTTACTAAATATTGATATGAGCAAATGAAAGTCACTCCTTGGATTGGCTCTTGTCTCCATCTCTCTGGTGACCTCCCTCTCAGGTTCAGTGTTATCCACTTTATTAGTCTACATTTCCTTACTCATGTGGCATGTATGATAAGTGAAATCTCTATTGATGACAGACAAATGGAAACTGGCAGCCATTATCACATTGTAATTCAAGGCTTAGAATCAGAGAGCAACAGGAGCCTATCCTGGTGCATTTTAGAGCAACTCTGCCTGTTAATGCTAATTCACACTCCTTACAATCAGATCTGTCTTTTGGCAACCAAGTCTACATCGTGGGGTAGTCTCCAAATCCCTTACTGAAGCAAGTCCTACATGTGAGAATTAACGGCCACCCTACATTTTCTACATCCCTGCAGTTCCCTTTTCATTTGAAATATAATTTTAGAAGAAAGCTGAGAGGGTTTCAATCACAGTTCAAAAAGAATATCTGCTGATAGAATTGGAAACACTGCACCATATCAGAGAAAATTCAGACCTATCTAATAATTCTACTTTTCTTTCAAACTTCTAACATGACATGTATATTATCCTACTGTTCTATTCTTATTCTATTGAAAACCAGTGAGAACACACAGTAGTCAGAACCTACTAACTTCAAAGTCAAATATATACGTATCCATCTAATTTTTTTCTTTTGGATTTAAATCCCACATATGAGTCACCTCTATTTCCATTGAAAATACCATAAGAACATGAAGATCCCATCCATGTTAGTTTTCAAAAGTATTTCAGACACCATATGCTTGTAATCCCAGCTACTTGGGAGACTGAGGTTGGAGGATCAGGAGCTCCAGTCTGGCAACTTAATGAGACTCAAAA